GAGCTCGTGTCTTTCCTTTTGAGTATCTTTATATCGTTTAGAACACAGAGTTCGTTCTTGCTTCGACATTATGAAATTTCATGAAGTCACTTGCGAAAAATATTCCGGAAAACGCGACAAATGAGAAGTGCACGTGTCGCCAACCATTTCCTGCGGGCTCCCGTCGCGCTAACCGCTCTCTCGCCGCATCGCATCGCCGACAATTTGCATCGGTATGCGCCGCTAATTGATTTCCTTCAATTATCGCTCGCGTGCTCGCGAGGAGTACACGCAGCGAGCTACTACCTGGGAGAAGGAGAAGAAAGGTTGTTTTTCTCTTGTATATTATTTCAAATTTTTTTTTTTTTTTTTCATTAAAATATTCGTAATTAAAACGGCCTCGACAAAGAGCGCGTTTATTGTTTAAACAAACGATTATTTCATTCCGAAAAAAATATCCTGCCGTGTTTAAAGACGTTCGAAAATACGCCACGAAACGCGACTATTTTTCCACATCCTCTATCGCGACTTTCAATTATATTACCCGATCTTGTCGCGTAACCTCGCAGACGACAATTTCTACGTTAGAGCTTTGTTAGCAACGCGCTAAAATTTCAACTAGGTTCTATCAACGAATTGACAGCCGCCGAACGACGAACATACAATCTCCATCGAGGACTTGTCGTTTTGTTTCCCCGTCGGGGTGACCTGAAAATTGCTGCTCACCTTGTCTTTCGATTTCCTGTTCTCTCATACCTCCTTCGTTGAAGGCTCGGTGTCGGTGTTAATTTCTACGGCGTTTTAATCGAAGTGCTTTTAACGGCAAGTGTGATGGACACCAAAAATTTAATTATTCGACGTCGATAGATGATTGAGATTTAGTTAGACACGACTTATATAGGTACTCGTATAGGTATTCGTTCATCCTGCCTATCTTCATTAGTATGTAAAAGAAGATGTTTTTAAGTAATTACAATACATTCATTTTCAATGGATGTGCTTTAATAATAATTATACTAATCTGACAACGTAAGACAACTTTAATTATTATTAACTTCTCAATTCTTTCAATACATCTCCGATTTTTCAATTTCAAAATATTATAGAAACGATTATGTAACTCATAAAAAAATGTATTTTAAGAAAACGTCAAATATACGTCATAAACTGTCTTTCTTTTGAAAAATCGAAGAAACACAAAAATTTTATTTTTAAATTTAATGTTTTATTGAAAAGCAAAAACTTTTTAAGATTTCTACTTTATGTTTTATTGAACAAATTGTAAATTTATAAACCGAAAGATAATATCCTACCATTCTTAAGATCACAAGATCCATATAAATTTTGAAGTTAAATTTTCTTAATTTAATAACGTTTCGTTGAGAAGGAAAAAATTTTTAAGACTTACTTTATATTTCATTAATTAAACATAGTAAATTTAAAAATCAAAAGACAATCCTACAAGGAGATACGTTCGACGCGACGGCGATTTATTTGAGCATCGTTAGGTCGTTTTCCCTCTACATTTGAACACTTTGTTTATGGTCCTACTATCTGCGTCACTAATTATCTACGAAATAACTACCAGTCTTTTGCCGATTCGTTTGTCTCGTTGCTACATGTCTACTTTCTTCACTACGAGAAAATGAGGCCCCATAGGTAACTACTACATCGATTAAATCTGCAATTCGCTACGCGTTTTCTTCTGCTTCTACGATCACAGTTTCGCCGAACATTGTCAACCGCGAACAGCTCCGCGGAAATATCGCGTTCTCGATATGTATTTCGAACCGATAAATAAGAACGGTTTTCCTAAATCTACAATATTGCACTTTTTGAAATTGATACCTATCACGCTCGATCGTTTGATCACTGATTGACATGTATTAATTAATACTTTCGATTTCTTTCGTTGACTACTTCAAAACGACGAACAGTCTCTCAATTGAGGAATGTATAGAGTGCTGTTTAATTCACTGTAATATTTCATTAAAAAATTACGCATTTATTACGAGAGACTAATTTTTTTCTCCGAAAGATCCCTAAAATCTTACAATCGATAATGAATATCAATCATAAAAAGAACATTGACTTCTTCAGCCAATTAAATCTCAAATAGATCCAATAAAATATACGTACGTATATTTCTTTTATATGAGCGTACTTAATTCATTCGGTTTCGAACTTTATAATTCGTGCAATCTAAATCGATCTATCCGAAACAACAAGTTTTTTGGCACGTATCAAAATATTATTTTTAAGCAAAATTGAGAAAGACTATTGCGTTTGCGATTAAAAATTGTGTTATTACGTTGCCCTTCGGTACGTACAAATTGTAAAACTCACGACGACATGCTAACAACGAAATCGTAAAATCGCGACAAGCAATATTAAGGAAAAGAAGGATGACTGATCGGTTAAAATTAAACGAAATAATAATCGGACGTAAGCGATGACACCCCCGGGGCGAGCTACAATTATTGCGGGCGCGAAAGGGGTGTGAGTATCGTTGGTCATAGGCCGATCGTAGGTATTGGATGGTAAACGGCGCCCATGTCGAGGCCCTGAACACCGAGGAGATCGCTCATGGAATAGGTGAGGGCGGCGGCGCGGGACGCGGCCGCGACCGGATGTGGCCGGTAAGAGGCCGCGGCCG